ATCTATTTGTTACCAACTGTAGTAGAGATTCCTTTGACTCCTTGAATTTCTTAGACGAAATTGCGTTACCAGTTTAAATGTCTCGTTTTACTTTCTCTGAATTCCCGTTCCCCGCCGAATTTTGTACGTAGTAATCATATCCCCTCTGTTTCTTCTCTCTTCTAGAGATAGGGTGAAGGAATAGTGCATGACGGGTGGAAGTGGTGCTATTTTGTGGAGGTTCCGGGGATCAACGGCCCCGCGGCCCGGTCTCCGACCAGGCCTGGAGAACCTGTGTTATGACTTGTGATATAGGAGGGGGTAGGATGTGGATCGAGAGAGTGGGGGGGGGGGAAAGGGGAAAGAATTGGGAGTTGTGTAGTGAGGTGTTGAGTGGTGAGTATGAAGATGGGAGAGAGGGGCAGAGGGTTGGGAGGGGAATGGAGTGGTGGAACGAGGAATGAGTGGAAGGAAGAATGAGTGGAACGAGGAATGAGTGGGAGGAGTGGGCAAGAAGGAATGTGAGTTTGGGTGGGTGGTGGGGTGGTGATCAGGTAGTGGTGAAGATAGGAGAAGGGGTTGTGACATTGATAAAGGTTGGAGTTGTAGAAATTGAGGTGTGTGTGGAGAGGGGGAGATGAAGTAATGGAGTGGAGTAGTGGTTGTGATGGAGGGAACAGGGTGAAGGAGGGTAAGAGTCTGGACTGGGGGGGGGGGGAAGGAGGGGTTGAGGAGTGGTAGAGATGGAGGGAGGGAGGGAGGGGGGGCATCATGCACGTCTGACCTCATCATAATTTAGGCAACAAAGGAAAGTCATAAATTCCTGCTCTTCTTATCTCATCCATTCTCTCCACGTGTCTAGCATCACGACACCTGACCCTGGCTCTCCTCTCTCTTCTTTAATTATTACTTATACCACTCAAGAATATATATATATAGAAGAATATCACTCAAGAATATCAAACTATATATATATATATATATATATATATATATATATATATATATATATATATATATATATATATATATATATAATATAATATCAGTTGCATATATGCCTGGAGACCGTTCACGCTTGTTCGCATATATATATATATATATATATATATATATATATATATATATATATATATATATATATATATGTGTGTGTGTGTGTGTGTGTGTATATCACGAAAATAAACACGTGATTAAGAATGTGACAATGTCAGACCACGGAGGAAAAATGAAACAGGAAATTTCCTTAAGTACTTTCGTATATTAAATACATCTTCAGAAGGTGTATATATATATATATATATATATATATATATATATATATATATATATATATATATATATATATATATATATATATATAATATATACATGCAAAGATCCACTTCATAAAGAGGGTCAGAATGCTCACAATGAAGTTGGGTCTGAGAAAGCTGCAGCTCCATCTAAGCCTTTATAACCATCCGCGGAGCACCGTATCTGGCTGTAATTCACTCCTTCATCCCCCATCATATAAACTGCACTCCACATATTCGCGGGTACTAACATTTCACTCACATGGGACACCAGGGAGTTGGAACACGGACCTTCTATTTTACAGATTCGGATTCAAATCACCGAGGATTCATCTAAATGAAATGTTATGACCCATCATATTTTGAATTGCTGTGTACGTGTGTATATATATATATATATATATATATATATATATATATATATATATATATATATATATATATATATATATATATATATATATATATATATATATATATATGTATGTATGATTCAGTGGCGTGTAGCACATATAGTGTTTGACGTACTGGACCAAGAGGTCTATAACAACTCTCTAGTTTATAAGACCTTCAGCTGACTACTGTCCCCATATACTTGCGGCTCTTATAACACAAATCCGCTATAGTGCAACATATGAGCCTGTGCAGAGAACATCTACTTTCCGAATATATTGAATCCAATATTACTGTGATTGCTTAAAATCTCCCCATATTGTATTCCTTGTAACGTCCCCATATTGTATTCCTTGTAACGTCCCTATATTGTATTCCTTGTAACGTCCCCATATTGTATTCCTTGTAACGTTCCCACATTGTATTTCTTGTAACGTCCCCATATTGTATTCCTTGTAACGTTACCACATTGTATTCCTTGTAACGTTCCCGCATTATATTCCTTGTAACGTTCCCACATTGTATTCATTGTAACATCCCACATTGTATTCCTTGTAACATCTCACATTGTATTCCTTATAACGCAGGCAAGAGACAAAAGCCATGATACACTGCTGGATATCATTATAAAGGCATGCATCAAGTCTTCTCACTGAAATCATTCATTTCAAGACAGAAGGCATTGTAGAATGTATAAATATAACCCCCATTAAAGAGTAAATTCTGTAAACATTGAGAGCACAAAACTTTTCAAATCCTTTTTTAATTTATTTGAAATTAATTATAAATTATATGATAAACACCTCGTAAAGGTACTTGGTCAACTAGACTATGATGCCCTGTGTTGGACTAAGACTGTGTTGGACTAAGACTGTGTTGGACTAAGACTGTGTTGGACTAAGACTGTGTTGGACTAAGACTGTGTTGGACTAAGACTGTGTTGGACTAAGACTGTGTTGGACTGTGAGCTGTAAGCTCCATCTTTCTGGCCAATCAGACCATGAGCCTTGAGGCGTGGTCAGAGGCGGAGCCGCGGGGTCACTGAACTTGGGAACCAGCATTACACATTTAGGTCGTTCACCAACATTCTATGTTGGTTAGGGATTATTTCTTATTATTTACCGTTATGAATGACATCTTGAACTGGTGGGCATAGAAGCGCTCTGCTTTGTTTTGCAGGGTCCCAGTTCGATCCCTGATGTTCTCAAGTTGCTGGATACCGTTTATTTCCCTCCTTCTCATATCCCAGTCCCTATCCTGCCCCGATATCCCAGCTCCCTATCTTGTCATATCCCAGCCGTCTATCCTGTCCTCATATCCCAATCCCAATCCTGCCCTCATATCCCAGCCCCTATCCTAGTGTCATATCCCAGCCACCTATCCTAGTGTCATATCCCAGTCCCCTATCCTGTCCTCATATCCCAATCCCAATCCTGCCCTCCTATCCTCTCCAAGTGTTATAGTCATCCTGGCATAGTTTTCTCTCGTAATAACTTTATCTTGCTATCAAGGATGAACCTGTAGGCTTGGCCAGAGCATGTATTTATATGTATATTAAGCATATATATACTGGTATATATATTAGTATATTTTGGTAGCAGTCTTTCTTGTAAACATGTGTTGTTGAATATGACCGAAAAAGTAAGAGTAATAATTCTAACACGATTTTTTTTCAATACTTCTTATGTTTTTCTTCACTGTCGGTGAAGTCAGTCTTCACTGTCATTACCACCGACAGTGAAGAAAAAACATAAGAAATATTGAAAAAATTCGTGTTAGAATTGTTAATCTTACTTTTTCGGTCATATTCAATAACATATATATATATATATATATATATATATATATATATATATATATATATATATATATATATATATATATATATATATTATATATATATATATATATATATATATTTATATATATATATATATATATATATATATATATAACCTGGAATGTCTGTACAGCTGCGTTCCCTTTATTCATTTGGCTGTTTATATGATTATAAGACAATTCTCAGCGATCTAATGATCATTGCAGCTTTGGGACACACGGAGACATGTTCTTGTGCTCCCAGATCTGATTCCAGTTTCTTTCATCTTGCAAGTGTTTACAAGCTGCCATCTCCACCTATCAAACGGTACCCAGCACCATAAGTAACTGATTACATGATAATTCGCTTAGGTAAATGGTAATATAATGTAAGTTGTAAAATGACTATTCTAAGATTACTATCAACAAGTTACTAGCCAGACTGATCTAAATTATATCCTAAAACCTCTTGTGATATTCGACCTACAACATATCGCGATATCCGCCTAAGATATCTTGCGATGTTCGTCCTGCACCATCTTAGGATATTCGCGCAAGACCAACTGTCCTCTCACACAATGCAATATATTTATGGTAAAATTCATAAATATAATGTAAAGACATTACCAACACCTGGACATAAAATATGCACCAACAATCCTCGCTTGTTCAAGTCATTGTTGTGTTATCTCACGACGGAGGTTTTGAACCCCTGCCCGTACCTGAGAGAACATCATTGTTCTCTCTCACCATAGTCTAGTGGATCATTTATATTTATTTCTGCTCACTATTTAGGAAGGTTTGTAGTTTTGTGTTTGGTGTGTGTATATATATATATATATATATATATATATATATATATATATATAATATATATATATATATATATATATATATATATATATATATATATATATATATATATATAGATATATATATATATATATATTATATATATATATTATATATATATATATATATATATATATATATATATATATATATATATATATATATATATATATATATAGGGATATCGCCTTTAGTGCAGTTGTTGGGAGTCATAGCTTCGGAGAAGGGAATGAAGAGCATTCAGAAAAAAAATCCGTTTTTTATATAAAATATATAGGGTTTTTTATAAGAAGAAATATATATATATAGGCTGCCACCTCTGGCTGGAGACCCATAGCCTCGGAGTAAAGCACACACAACGCATTGAAGGGAATTTTTGGGCCCTCCAATGCAGTGTTCATTTTCTTTTGTCCTCC